GTCCCTGGAGATGGTGAAGCGTCCCTTGACCTTGTCTGAGTAGTAAATACTGCTGGAATCAGGCCATATGGATGCCACCCATTCCAGTCCTTTCCCTGGATACTGCCTCACCCAGCTCATGTCGTAGCTGCTGAAGGAGAATCCAGAGCCTTGGCAGGAGAGACGGAGGGAATCTCCAGGTCTTCTCACATCCCCTCCAGACTCCACCAACTGGACCTCTGACTGGACACCTAGAAAGAAACGTTGTTTAATAAGATTTTCTGCAAGTCAACACAAAAAAGGGGATAAAAAGCTTCTTTTTGGAGGGGAAAAATAATACCTCTGAGGACTACTAATAAGAAGATAAGATTTATCCAGGGTGTCATTTTTGCTCACTCTAAAGATCAGTTGAGTCTTACTGATGGGAAAACATTCAGAGAAGCGCTCAAACTTTGCACAGTTGGGCACAGCAGGAGAACAGGATGATATGGCTCCTTTGAGGAGGAAGCTGTCACTGGATTTGCATAGCCCTCAGGATAAAAGAGCCACCCACTGCTTTGACCTTCTAGAGTTCCTTCATCCTACAGTTTAGACATGGTTTTCCAGTGCTGAACAAGTCCAAACACCAGTCAAGGCACAGTTTTTAATTCTTTAAGAAATAAGTTAACTGTCACGTTTGTTTTGTAGGAGATAAAACAATGTCTTGCAACTTTAAAGGACATATATCTAAATTGAGTATGAAAATGCTCCTGAATTTACATAGTTTTGGGGATGAAAGTGCTTCTCTTTGCTTTGACCTTGACGATTTCCTTGAGCCTATATTACAAAAGTGATATTTAGATGATGAACAAATCATAAACCCATCAAGATTACACATTCAAAGCGCTCTACAAAGACCTGCAGATTGATGGGGGAGGAAGGTTTTGTTTGTGGTTTGTTTTTTTGCAAAAGCTCAAACTCAGAAAAGTGTTTAAAGAATCAAAGCTCAGAACTAACATGCACAGACACCCATACAGAAGTATTTAATAGCCACAGTAGAGACAGAGTGGGAGAGCATATGACAGTTCACCCATTATTGATAAGCTACCATGGTTTGTTAAACCAAAATGTTGATCTGATGCAGGCTACACAACCAAGAATAATTTCCTAAGAGCAAGGACTCTGTCTTTAAAAGTCACAAAGTAAATCCAATAAATTACTTTAGGATCAAACATTTTCTCTGAAAAAGTTGAATAGGTCACCTTGTGGTCTCCTAAAAATTCAGTTAGCTTTATGGCCACGAAAGGAGGGCTACAGTGAACTCAGCCTTGGTATGTGGAGAGAAGAGTAGGTTCTTGAGGAGCGGAACTGACATGGGAACATCTCTATGAATTTTCAAGCCAGCAACCAAGAGAATCATCAGCCTGAGAATTGAAACCCCATCAGGAAATCCTGGTTTCATTTTCCTGCCCCTCCCCCCTTGGCTCCTGGGGTTCTGTGGGACAAGACTGCCCCCCCCCTCCTCCCAGTGTGCACTATGAGCCGAATCAGGCCTGGTTCTCCAGGGAGATGCTTCTGTTGCAAGAGAGAAAGTGAGTTTGGGAA